ACCGGTGGTCATTGGAGTCTCTTGTGTACCTTACCCTTCTACATCGGTCTGCTATCTTCTACTCTACCACTCAATCTGCTCATGTTTGGTATAAATGACATAGTAGATTTCGATGTGGACCAATTGCATGCTCGTAAGGGCAACTACGTATTCGGAGCTAGGGCTAGCAAGTCTGAACTAGCTCAGCTGCCTCTGCTGATAGCGGTCATTAATCTCTGTCCGATCGTCGTTCTCGCGATGACCACGGAATGGCTGAGTCCCGCTATGTGGGTGTTCGGCTTTTCACTGTGTAACATAGTCTATAACATACCTCCAGTGTCACTGGCTCGGAAGGGCCCTTGGGAGGTCCCCTGTGTGCTGCTCGGTGTATCATGCATCACTATGTTCTCATGCGAGATCAACAACATCCCTTTACCATCAATAGGTAGTACCCATTCCGCGTCGTCTGACTTCCTCCTGTGCTCGAGAGGTGGCCCCTTTCTAGCCGAATCGACTTTCTAGGAACACCAAATTGTAGAAGACTATCCGTATCGACACAAATTTTGTCCCTGCTTGCCCGGAATGGTTACAGGAGGCAGTTCCCAGAGCGCATCCCTGCGTTCAGGTGGATGGCTATTTCACTGGCTGGCAATGGCACGTGGCCAGCTGCATGGGGAGATGATCGACATCGATGACGATGCTAAATGCGGGAAGAACACCACGGTTGTGAAGCTCGGCCTCCTCAAGGCTCAATGGCTCATGTGGACACTAACGGTGTGTGCAGCCCTTGTAAGATTGGACTCTCCCATGTTCCCTGGCTCTTCTCGGTGATATTCCCGCGAGTCACAACGCTGAGTGTTTAATCTCAAACATTCCGCGTGAGTCTCGAATATGGGATATTAACGTGTGGATCATCGCAACTTCTCAATGCGCCTGTTCGGAGCATCTCGCACCCCTTGCCCAGCAGGCCTCAAATTCAGATGATTCTTCTGAATTTGTTTGAATTCGTCTGAGGCGAATGGTTGGAGCTGTATACTATTAAAGCTCATCGGGTCAGCCCGGGCCAGCCTAATAATACGAGTCGAGGTGATTGATAAACCAAAGTTTAAAAGGCGGCTTTGGATTGATAATCGATCACTGATCATCATTTGCAGTCTCTTGGCATTTTTTCAGGTATCCTACTCCCTATTGGGCTCTGTGGTGCTAAGTATCTACTATATCATCGATCTGGCACTATCAGTTTACTGCCATCTAAGGGGAGCGGCGAGCAGCATAGAGAAGCATACCATGACCATTTTCAAGGTGCAGAGTGTCCTAGGAATCATCTACCTCTCTTACGCTTGGTCTAGTCAAGTGTTCGGCTGAAAAGTTGAAGGTTTGCGGGCGTGTTACGGCATGCTCAGTGAGATGTCTTTTATCGCTACTGTTTTTCATATCACGGGTGAAACTCGTTATTATGTGTTCTGCAAGAATTTTGGGAGATTCGTATTGTTCTTTGCACACTCCTAGCTGAGTTCATGTTTTATAATGTAGTGAGGGAACTCCCGAGCTCAGACAGGCAAGTCGAATATGTATTCCAACACTGACAGTTGATATTGTTGTGGTTAAGTTTGAGATACTCGTCCACAATATGGCTGCTGTACCGGAGCTTGACTCCCCTACACCGTCCTCAGCATCATCATCTTTTGGTGAGCTAACTCCGGCGCCTCCACTCGATGAAAGAGAACAGACGAACGTCGCACAACTACTCGCTGAGCTGACGGCTCGTGTGGGGAGAGTGGAAGCCCACAGGTGGGTTGGCGTTCTCCCCTCCTTGTGAGTTCCCTCCATAGATGCTTGTCGCATGTGGTGAATATTTTACGGAAGGCCCCCGATAGATTGGTCCTCTCGACATTCCATCGTATCGTCGGGGATGCCGCTATGGATGACATTTTATACATCTTCGATCTTGCCGGCTATCGTCGTCATGTAAGATCATCATCTCTTATTCATTTGTGCGTAT